TGGGGGTTGCTTTCTCTCTCTCTCTCTCTCTCTCTCTCTCTTTTCCTTTATCTCTGGTGAATACACATGCCCTATAGCAAAAAAAAAAAGCCATGTATATATTGACATATTTATAAAAAAATCAGTAATATAGAGCAGTGAAAATTAAGGAACTATAGATGCACACAATGATATGGATGGAAATGTGAACTAAAGATGCATAACCCAAAGAAGACCTTCGACATAAAGCACATGCAAGCAAAACCCAACATAGAAGTAACACTAAGAGGAAAGGCAGAAGAGTGGCAACCTGTGGGAGTAAGAAGGTCAAATGGAGAGAAAGGAACGTGGAGGAACTATGGCTGTTCACAATGTTCCATACCTTGAATTTGGGTGTGGGGGTGGTACATGAGTGCTAGTTTAATAATTACTCATCACAGTACATAGTTGTTTGGTAACCTGGATCAACTTTTCTTTAAGTGGTTTAAAATCACAATCAATAAAAAACTTTAAAAAAAAAAAAAAAGGAAGGAAAGAAAGATAGAGGGAGGGAGAGATGGATTCTAGCACATTCTTTCTTAACATTTCTAGTTTAGGTTTTGAAAATGTTTTCTCGTCGGGAACCAGCAGTTAGCGTAATGGCTATGTCGCTGGACTCCCACGTAGTCGACCGCGGTTCGTGTCCCGGACCCGGTGGCTTAAAACTCACGCCGGGCGCGTGTGCGTGCGTGTCCAAGATCCCGAGAGGAGAATGGAGGAGAAGGGATTGTGACGTGGCCATCCCCCCTGGGGGGTGATTTCTCACTTTCTGTCTCTATGTCTCTCTCTGTCTGTCTGGCGAGCGCACGCTCCCTACAGTGAAAATCTCTTTAAAAAGAAAAAATGTTTTCTCATGCTCCAAAATGAGAACTTGAGGAATGGTTCTCAAGTCCCCCACCTTAAGTATGGAGGACTTGGTTATGGCTGAAGTATAGGTTATACCTGTACTTATCCTTAGACAGACGTGGAACCAAGGAGTACATAAATCAAGGACTACAACTTAAGGATCTCACCTTTCTCCCAGAAGCTACAGGAGAAGCAGTGTCTAATATTTCACTGCACGTGGAATTTTCTCTACTTCTGTCCAGGTCTTTCTGAGGGTCAGTTTCTCTTTTTTTTAAAGAATCATTTTATTTAACTTTATTCGTTATTATTATTTTAAATTTGGCCTAAGAGAGACAAAGAGAGGGGAAGTGAGAAAGCAAGCCGCCAGGTCCAGGACTTGAATTGCCATCAGCCATGTGAAGTCCAGCACCCTTAACCACCACTCCATCTGCAGGCTCCCCTGAGGATCAATTTATATGCAACCCCAGAGCCTCAGGAAGAGAAAAGAGACAGATTTCCTTGTAGAGTCAAGATCCTTATCCTCAGAATCACCATATTTCTGTTACTATGCCAAGTCAGAAAAATGGATACCTGCTGGGTTCATTTTGTGGAGAAAAGTTTCAGTGAGAAGCATGGAGCCTGGATTTTCTTTTTAAAGAATTATTTTGTTGCGGGACCAGCAGTTAGCATAATGGCTATGTCGCTGGACTCCCACATAGTCAACCACGGTTCGCATCCTGGACCCGGTGGCTTAAAACTCACGCTGGACGCATGTACGTGTGTGCCCAAGAGCCCGAGGAGAATGGAGGAGGAGGGATTGCGGCCTGGCCATCCCCCCTGGGGGGTGATTTCTTGCTTTCTGTCTCTCTGTCTCTCTCTGTCTGGCGAGCACACGCACCCTATAGCAAAAATGTCTTAAAAAAAATTTAAAAAGAAGAATTATTTTGTTAGGACCAGCAGTTAGCGTAATGGCTATGTCGCTGGACTCCTATGTAATTGACTGCGGTTCAAGACTCAGACCCGGTGGCTTAAACTCACAACGGGCATGTGTGCATGCATGCCCAAGATCCCGAGAGGAGGGGGACCAGCGGTTAGCATAATAGTTATGCCGCTGGACTCCCACGTAGTTGACCGCGGTTCAAGTCCCGGACCCGGTGGCTTAAACTCACGCTGGGCGCGTGTGCATGCGTGTCCAAGATCCCGAGAGGAGAATGGAGGGGAATGGAGGAGAAGGGATTGTGGTGTGGCCATCACCCCTTGGGGGTGATTTCTCGCTTTCTATCTCTCTGTCTCTCTCTGTCTGTCTGGCGAGCACACGCACCCTATAACAAAAGCCTCTCCAAAAAAAGAATATAAAAAAGATCCTGAGAGGAGAATGGAGAAGGGATTGTGGCCATCCCCCCAGGGGGGTGATTTCTCACTTTCTGTCTCTCTCTCTCTCTCTCTCTTTCTAGCGAGCACACGCACCCTATAGCAAAAACCTCTCAAAAAAATTATTTTGATTAACTTTATTTATTTATTTATTCATTTATTAAAATTTGACCAGAGAGGGACAAAGTGAGAAGGAGAGAGAGGAGAGAGATAGAGAGAAAGCGCGAAAGCAAGTCACCATGTCCAGGACTCGAACTGCAGTTGGTCATGTGGGAGTCCAGTGCCTTTAACCACCATGCTACCTGCCAGCCCCTGGAGACTGGATTTTAAACCCACTCACCCCACCTCACACACACTTCATCACCTCCATTCGTGCATTTCCCCTGATGCTCTTTTGTGTCCTGTGTCTCTGTCACTGACATTTCTCTTACATTACAGACAAGGGCTTACATAACTGGTATGGTTGTAATCAAATCTGTTTCTGATACCCCAGTCCCTCCTACTCTGCTCAGAACCTTTGCTGGGAGGCACCTGAAAACAGGCACAAAGCCAGAGGGTGGGGCTGCAAGGGGTCATTTATATACCACAACTCAAGAGTCACACAGAAGACTAGACACAGCTCAGAAGGGCCCTCAGAAGTAAACAACAATGCTAGGGATACAGGTGAGTTGAAAAGCAACCACTTTCAGTGGCCCCATGTTACGTAAAAAAGGGAAGGAATGATAGATTTGATGAGGTGAAAATATGAGGATTTCGGGAACCAGCAGTTAGCGTAATGGCTATGTCGCTGGACTCCCACGTAGCCGACCACAGTTCGTGTCCCGGACCCGGTGGCTTAAAACTCACGCCGGGCGCATGTGCGTGCGTGCCCAAGATCCCGAGAGGAGAATGGAGGAGAAGGGATTGAGGCGTGACCATCCCCCCTGGGGGGTGATTTCTCACTTTCTGTCTCTATGTCTCTCTCTGTCTGTCTGGCGAGCGCACGCACCCTACAGTGAAAATCTCTCCAAAAAAAATATATATATATGAGGATTTCTATTCTGAAACTGCTGAAGTCGTGGATGTGTGGAAGAGAAAGAACCTGAAGATATGATGTCTGAGATGCTTGTGGAGTGCCCTGTGTTGCCTGGACCAGTGTAAACCTCTGGCAGTACTTGGAGGTGTCTGAGAGTGAACTCAATGGAGAGATGTGGGATTGAGACATTATGTGGGAGACAAACGGCTAACCAGAATGGGCATGTGTGTGAGTTGAAGGAGCAGGACTGTACATTTGTCTTCAGGGCTGTGACAGTGTGTATGTGAGTACAGTTCAGGGGCTGACTGAGTAGGACTGTGGAGAGGGACACTGTGACACTGTGAGTTGCATACTTTTGTGACAGTGTGACACTGAGTTGCATGCTTGTGTGTGTGTAAAATATTGTGTAACTGACTCTGATTAAAGGGTGGTGGCTCTTTCCATGTATGACAGCTCTGGTTGGCAGTGGGGGACTCGGAGACTATGCATTACACAAAAACTAATCGCTGAGCATTTATGATAGCACAGAGACTTTAGAATAAATACATCTTTAGAAGCTTCTTAAAAAGAGGGGGAAGGGGAACAGCAGGTGGCGTAGTGTTTGTGGTGCTACTGTGATTCCATTCCTGGACCCAGCACCTTCAAACTCACCCCAGGTACCTATGTATGTGTGCTCAAGGTCCTGATATGAGAGTGGAGAAGGGATTTTTGGCATGGCCATTGCCCATCAGGGGTGATTTCTCAATTTCTCTCTCTGTGTCTCTCTTTGTGGCACTGATGAGCACATGTGCCCTGCAGAAAAAATAAATAAATAAACAAATAAATAAAACTCTCTAAAAAGAGAGAGAGAGAGAGAGGTATTTGTGCATACCCCAAATCCTTTTTGCTTCTTTTTTAGAATTATTTTCTTTCTTTATTTTAATTAATTACGTTTGACCAGAGAGGGACATAGTGAGTGAGAGAGAGAAGAAAAACGAGAAAGCAAGCCACCAGGTTGGGACTCCAACTGTGGTCGAAGTGCAATCAACAAACTCAGACTATGGGAGTGCTGGATCTTCAGGCCAGGTCTGCAAACACCGACCCCTCCTCCTCCCTGCTCACATCTCCCCCACCTTCCACCTCAGTCCTTCTCATTGTGCTATGGGAGGATAAGCAGATATGGTCCACCAAGGAAGGCTGCAGGGTGACTTGGTTTCAGAAAATTGAGTCATCTGAAAGAGGAGAAAGCAGGATTTGCCTCAGTTTAGGCGGAGCTGACGGTAGACTTCAGTCTGTAACTTCTGATTCCCTCCAAACCCTTTTCTGTCCCACAACCTTTGTGTGCGTGCAGGTACTGGACTGTGTTCACAACCATTTGTACCCATTCTCCCTGTCTTTTTTTTTTTTTCAATTTGCTATAGAGCACATTCACTTGCCAGAGACACACAGAGAGAGAAAGAGACAGAGAAGAAAAGTGAGAAATCAACACACACACACACCCCCAGGAGGATGGCCACGCCTCAATCCCCTCTTCTCCAACCTCCCTTTGGGATTTTGAAGCATGCATACATGTGCACCGATATGATTTTCAAGCTGCTGGGTCTGGGACTCAAACTGCACAGCCAGCAGCCATTTGGGATTCAGCTGCCTTGACCATCACACCACGGCTGGCCCCTATTCTCTCTTTTTTAGTTAATTTTTATTTGCCAAAGAGCGTGTGTGCTCATCAGAGAGAGACAAAGATAGCAAAAGATGGAGAAAGCACCCCCAATGAGGAATGGTCACATTACAATTCCTTCTCCTCCAGTTCTCACTCCTTTAAGGATTTGGGCACGTGCATACATTACCAGAATGTTTTTCAAGCTGCCAGGTTTGGGATTTGAACCATGTGGTTATCCATGTGGTACCAAACTCCTTTAACCACCAGGACATGAGTTAACCCTATTTATTTTTTTCCATGAGAGAGAGGGAAAGTCTCAGCCAGCCCAGATCAGAGGCACACACACATGTGCCCTGTGTGTACCAAGAGTCCTTGGATGTGAATCCAAGACCTTCCTGTGTAGCTTCAGCATAGCAATGTTGAATTACTGCTGCACCACCACGGCTGGCCTATACAATTCTAAACATCCCACACACAGGGGTTTCCTTTCCTTTTTTTTTTTTTTTTTTCCCTGTCTTTTTTTAATTTGCTGTAGTGTGTATGCACTGGCTGGAGAGAGAGAGAGAAAGTGAGAAAACACTCTCAGAGGGGATGACCACACTGCTATCCCTTCTCCTCTATTCTCTAGGGATTTGGGGCACGCATGCACATATGCTGTGTTTTGTTTTGTTTTTAGAGAGAAATTTTTGCTATAGGGCACACACACTCACCAGACAGACAAGAGAGACAGAAAGCGAGAAATCACTCCGTGGGGGGGATGACCACACCCCCATTTTTCCTTTCAAGATTTGGGGCATGCATGTACGTACACCTGGTGTGAGTTTTAAGCTACTGGGTCCAGAGCTCAAAGCACAACTGACTATGTGGGAGTCCAGTGACATAACCATTACTCCATCTGTTGGTCCTCCCAGTGTATTTTTCAAGCCTGAGTACCAGGCCTAGGACTCAAACTATGCAGTTAACCACGTGAAATCTAACCACCTTAAACCACCACACCACCAGCTGGCCCCCTTTTCTGCTATTATGTCCCTCTCTCTTTAAGCAAGTGTTGCTTTTCACCAGAGTGAATTTTTGTAATTTTATATCCTCGGGTCTTGTTTTCACAATTTCAGATCATGGAAAACTATCAGTGGGTGATATTCCAGAAAGGGCCCTTCCCTTCTGATATGATCAAAGGTTTTACATACATTAACTTCTATTTCTGAGAATACCCTATGAGGTAGGAGTTTTTTTTTTTTTTGAGAGGTTTTTGCTAAAGGGCGCATGCGCTCACCAGAAAGACAGAAACAGACAGAGATGGCCACGGCGCAATCCCTTCTACTCCATTCTTCTCTCGGGATCTTGGGCATGCACACACACACACCCAGCATGAGTTTAAGCCACCGGGTCCAGTACTCAAACCACAGTCGACTACATGGGAGTTCAGCGACATAGCCATTACACTAACTACTGGTCCCTTTTCTTTTTTAAGAGAGGTTTTTGCTACAGGGCGCTTGAACTCTCCAGAGAGAAAGAAAGCAAGAAATTACCCCCCAGGTGGGAAGGCCACGCCACAATCCCTTCTCCTTCATTCTCCTCTCAGGATTTTGGGCACAGGGGCTGGCAGGTGGCATGGTGGTTAAGGGTGCTGGACTCCCACATGGCTGACTGCAGTTGGAGTCCCAACCTGGTGGCTTGCTTTCTCATTTTTCTTCTCTCTCTCTCTCACTATGTCCCTCTCTGGTCAAATGTAATTAATTAAAATAAAGTTCAATAAAGAAAATAATTCTAAAAAAGAAGAAAAAAGGATTTGGGGCATGCACACATACGTGACCAGCATGAGTTTTAAGCCATTGGTTCCAGGACTCAAAGTGCAATCAACTAAATACATGGGAGTCCAGTGATATAACCATTACACCATCTGCTGGTCCCAGTAGGAATTTGTACTGGGGAAACTGAAGCCGGCAGCATGCAAGTGATGGACCTAGGATCTCACTCCTAGTAAGAGGCAGAATCAGAATTTGAATCCAGGGGCACCAGCAGTTAGCGTAATAGCTATGTCCCTGAATTCCCATGTAGTCGACTGCGGTTCGCGTCCCGGACTCTGTGGCTTAAAACTCACGCCGGGTACGTGTGTGTGCGTGCCCAAGATCCCGAGAGGAGAATGGAGGAAAAGGAATTGCGGCGTGGTCATCCCCCCCCGGGGGGGGGGATTTCTCGCTTTCTATCTGTCTCTCTGTCTTTCTGACGAGCACAGGCACCCTATAGCAAAAACCTCTCCAAAAAAATAAATAATTTGAATCCAGGCAACCTGACTCTAAACCCTTGCTCTTCACTACCAACCTCTGTCTTTTCAAGGATACAGGGACCTGGCTGTGGTGAGGTGGGGAGAAAGAGGGTCCTTGAAGTTTGTCCTTCGATCTCCACCCTGTGGCACTCCTGGAAGGGAGTGCACACCTGGCCCTGCCCTTCACATCCACTCTCAATCCCCTTGGCAGGTCCCGTACACATGGCATGTGTCCTTGTCTATTGGTTCTTCAGTGACAATCAGAGCCAAACCTATGATGTCTTTCAGTTTGGTACTCTATAGTCCATGGGTGGGGGTGGAGGAAAGGTGAGTGTTAGAGCTTTGAGTGGCATCTCCTGTCAGAGTGATGTTAAAATATTTAATTAGTGTGATGAAGGCACAGTGCAGGGGCAGGTCCTGGAGACCATGACAGCACCAGGCCTTTGACAAATAGTTGCCAGACTGTGGGTGGGTCTTGAGGTCAGGGGAGAAGGTCACTCAGAAGCCAAGGACTTTTCAGGGATGGACAACCAGTGAGCCCAGGTCAGTGACTGCTGCTCCATTTTAGTCTTGGGCTAGAGGACAGAGCATATCAGTGCCCTGGACGGGGGGCTTCCTTCCACTGTGGGGAAGAGGTGGGCATGGCTTTGTCAGCGTGTTGAGTGTGTGCACTACTCAAAGAAGGGACCTGTCCCCCATGCCATGTGCTTTGCCCTTCAGAAAGGACCCACAAATGCAGGTGGGCTTCCACACTGAAGCTAACGAGAAGTCAGACATCGCCTTCCATTTCCGAGTGTACTTTGGCCATTTTCGTGGTAATAAACAGTCTTGAGGGTGGGAGCTGGAAGCATGAGATGAAATCCTCCCACATGCCCTTTGTGGATGACCAGTCATTTGACCTGCGCATGTTGGTGCTACACAATGAGTACCAGGTGAGTGACCCGGAAGCAGCCACTCCAGGGCCTCTGTGGGCTCTGGGGGAGGGTGTGGCTCTCCCTGGCTTGGCCCCAGGATTCCAGGGGTCCATCTCCCATAATATGTCTGCCTCAGGTTTTTTGTTTTGAGAGGTTTTTGCTATAGGGCGCGTGCGCTCGCCAGACAGACAGAGAGAGACAGAAAGATAGAAAGTGAGAAATCACCCCCAAGGGGAGATGGCCACGTCACAATCCCTTCTCCTCCGTTCTTCTCTTGGGATCCTGGGCACACGTGCCCAGCGTGAGTTTCAAGCCACTGGTCCGGGACGCGAACTGTGGGAGTCCAGTGACATAGCCATTACGCTAACTGCTGGTCCCCTGCCTCAGGTTTTTTTAAAGAATTATTTATTTGGGCCCAGGGACCAGCAGTGGGCATAACAGCTATGTCACTGGACTCCCATGTAGATGACCCTGGTTCAGGTCCTGGACCTGGTGGCTTAAACTCACACCAGGCACGTGTGTGTGCGTGCCCAAGATCCTGAGAGGAGAATGGAAGAGAAAGGATTGTGGCGTGACCATCTCCCTTGGGGAGTGATTTTTCACTTTCTGTCTCTCTATCTCATTCTGTCTTTCTGGTGAACGTACGCGCCCTATAGCAAAAACCTCTCAAAATTATTTTTTCTTTTTCTTTTTCTTTTTCTTTTTCTTTTTCTTTTTTCTTTTTTCTTTTTTTGGTTACAGGGCAAGTGTGCTCATCAGAATGAGACAGAGAGAGAGGAAAAGTGAGAAAGTAAGCCACCAGGTCCAGGACTCAAATTATGGTCAGCCATGTGGGAGTCCAGCACCTTAACCACCACGCCACCTGCTGGCCCCGGCCCCAGACTTTTAAGCACAGAGCACACTCTGCTCGTACTGACTTCCTCAGTTTTTTTCTTCTTTTCAAACCCTGGTTTGAGTCCTGACCCTGGCAGGTTAACAAATACATCAGGTACATGTTGTGCATGCCCAGAATCCTGACAAAATGGAGGAGGAAGGAAAAAAGATTGCAGGCCAGCTCCTGACATGGTGGTTAAGGAAGCTGGATCCCATAGGGCCAACCACATGGTTCGAGTCCCAGACTGGTGGCTTGAGAAACTCACCAGGTGCATGCACATATGTGCCTAAAATCTCAAAGGAGGGAGTGATGGTGGAGATGGGATACAGCATGACCACTCCTCCTGTGAAATGTGTTTTCTCCTCTCTCTCTCCTCTCTCTCTCTCTCTCTCTCTCTTCCTCCTCTCTCTCGTAAGCACATGATACTCTCTAGCCAAAAAAGGAAGATTGCTGCGTGACCATGCCCCTTTCAGAGATGCTCTCTTGCCTTCTCTTTCTTTGGCAAACATAATCACCTTCTGGCAATTAAATTTCTTTTTAAATACTGATTTTTTTTTTTTTTTTTTTTTTTTTTTTTTTTTTTGCCTTTTTTTTTTTTTTTTTTTTTTAGATTTTTGTCACAAGGTGCATGTGCTCACCAGAGAGAGGCAGAGAGAGGGAAAGTAAAAATCACCCCCCAGCAGGTTGGTCACCCCTTAGTCCCTTCTCCTCCATTCTCCTCTCAGGATGTTGGGCATGTACATGCCATGATTTCCAAGCCACCAGATCCGGGACTTCAATGGTGATCGATCATGTGCGAATCCAGCACCTTAATCACCATGCCATCAGTTGGCCCTGAATGCTAATATTTTATTTTTTGAGCCATCTGTACTATTCTACCTCTTTAAAGACAAGTTGGTGGGGAGGGAGGAGGCAGCAAGTGGCATGGAGGTTTAAGGCACTGCATCCCCCACATGGCCAGCTTTGTGAGTCAAGTCCCAGACTTGGCGACTTGAGAATCCTATTGGGCGTGCCTGCGTGAATAAAATTCCAAGAGGAGAGTGGAGAAAGGATTGTGGCATGACCATTCTCCCTGGGGGTGATTTCTCACTCCTCCCACTCTGGTGAATGCACTTCCCCTATAACAAAAACTAAAATTAAAAGAAAAAATTGAAGGGGCCAGGTGGTGGCTTAGTGGTAAATCAACAGCAAGTACTTGGGAGAGGTCCTGGGTTCACATCCTAAGTATGCCAGGGAAGAGAGAGAAAAACACTCGAGTTTCATTCTTTACCACCAGCAGCTCAAACTGGGCTCCTCGAAGACAAACTGGGCCATCGGCAGTAAATGGCAGTCAGGGGTGTGGAACTGAAACTTCTGCATCCAGTGAACTGGTCCTGGGCAGGCCCTTTGCAAGATACAGGGATTCAAGCTTCATTTGACTCGGTTCCTGATCATAGGGATCTTCTAGACTACAGGGAAGGCCAAGAAAGCACAGCCCGTGTGACATAGAATGATTGTAGACCCTCACTGGAAAAATGAGAGAAACACTGAAAGAGTCAGCAGGGCCACCAGGTGGCACGTGGTTAAGGCCCTGGATGCCCACACGGCCAACCATTAGTCAAGTCCCAGATCTGGCAGCTTGAAACTCACGCCAGGTGCCTGTGTGTGCATGCCCAAAATCTCAAGAAAAGAATGGAAGAGAAGGGATTATGGCGTGGCCATTCCATTCCCCCCGGGGAGGGTGGTGATTTCTTACTCCCTGTCTCTCTTGGTCACTTTGTCAAGTGCATGCACCCTATAGCAAAAATCTCTTAAAAATAAAAATTCAGCAACTTTCTGAAATCATCATTAAAAAAAAAGTGGTTGAGGCTAGCAGGTTACCACCTGGTGGTGGAGAGTGCTAGACTCCTACATGCATGTGCGTGCGTGTCCAAGATCCTGAGAGGAGAATGGAGGAGAAGGGATTGCAGCATGACCATCCTCCCTGGGGGGTGATTTCTCGCTTTCTGTCGCTCTGTCTCTCTCTGTCTTTCTGGTGAGCACACACACCCTATAACAAAAACCTCTCCAAAAAAAAGTGGTCTGTAAAAGAAATGTGTCTACTGGGTTTCGAAATATCATTAAGAGTTTTCTGGGTGGACAGTATAGGGCAAAAATGGAAAAAACCTGAAAATCTTAATGGATGGCACACCATTTCTAACAAACTTTCTCTCTTATAGGTGGTAGCAAATGGCCAACACTGCTACGGCTTTGCCCATCGACTTCAGCCAGGGTGTGTGAAAATGATGCAGATCTGGAGAGACGTCTTGCTGATCTCAGTGGATGTTTCTTAGAGAGGGAGGTGACCAGTCTTCCCCTCCGTCAAGGTCCCCCTATCAATGTGACCACAAGATTTTCAGAGCCCATTAACACAATGGTTCCTTCCCACTCCTTCCCTACATTTGGTCATTAAAATTTCACCAAAACTTCATAGGATTTCACTCTTGCCTTGGGGGTGGGGGGGAAGACTAATTGATCATCACCAAAAGTGGGGTGAGAGTTTTATGGAAGGGACCAAGGAATGGAAGAGAATAAATTTTTCTGTGACACAATGAGTGAGTGCCATGGTCACTGAAATGCTGGAGAAGACCTAACAACATCCTTATGTACTATCTATCAGACACGTTAATATAGGGGTAGTCAGTATGAGTTAATAATGGTTCTGAATATTAAAATACTAGCATGTTTTACCAATAAAGTGTTGATATAAAAATTAAGCAGAAGTTAACAACAGTATCAAAGGAAAAAAAGAGAAATATCCCACTGTGGGATTATGGCATCAGATCAATATTTTATTTTCAGGGGCCAACAGGTGGCATGGTGGTTAAGGGTGCTGGACTCCCACGTGCCCGACAGCAGTTTGAGTCCCTGAGACCTGGCAGCTTGCTTTCTCATTTTCCACCCCTTCTCTCTCTTTCGTTTTCGCTCTGTTTCTCTCTGGTCAAATTAAAATAAATAAATAAAGTTAAATAAAAGTTTTTTGAATATTTTATTTTCAGGGAGCACAGGATGAGTTATGTTAGTAAAAGTCGGAAAGGAAGGGTCCTTATCACGAAGGCCTTAAGTGCTAATGAGAGGCTTCTTTGTTCTGAGAACATTTACGAATCCTGGGAAGCTACAAAACTGGAACACAGTATGTTTTTCTTATGGCATCAGAAACCACCTACTGGAATCAGTAGGTGGCATGGTGATTAAGGCACTGGACTCCCACATGGCCAGCCACAGTTCAGGTGCCGGATCTGGTGGCTTGCTTTCTTTTTCCCTCTCTCTCTCTGCCTCTCTGAGTTCATGTACTCTATAGCAAGTTTAAAAATATAATAATTGGGGACCAGCAGTTAGCATAATGGCTATGTCGCTGGACTCCCATGTAGTTGACCGTAGTTCGAGTCCCAGACCCAGTGGCTTAAACTCACGCCGAGTACGTGTGTGTGTATGCCCAAGATGCCGAGAGGAGATGGAGGAGAAGGAATTGTGGCATGGCCATCCTCCCTGGGGGTGATTTCTCACTTTCTGTCTCTCCATCTTTATCTTTCTGGTGAGTGCACTCACCCTATAGCAAAATCCTCTCCAAAAAATAATAACAATAGGGGCTGGCAGGTGGCGTGATGGTTAAGGCACTGGACTCCCACATGGCCAATTACAGTTCGAATCCCAGACCTGGCAACTTGCTTTCTCACTTTCCCTCTCTCTCTCTCGTCAAATTAAGAATAATCATAAATAAAATTAAATAAACATTTTTTTAGAGGATTTTTGCTGTATAGTGCATGTGCTCGCCAGAAAGACAGAGAGAGACAGAGAGACAGAAAGTGAGAAATCACCCATCCCTTCTCCTCCGTACTCCTCTCAGGATCTTGGGCACGCACATGCACGCACCCAGAGTGAGTTTAAGCCACTGGGTCTGGGACTCGAACCGTGATTGACTACATGGGAGTCCAGCAACGTAGCAATTACACCAACTGCTGGTTCCCAAATAAATAATTTTTTAAAAATATAAAATAATAATAAATAAAATTAAGTAAATATTTTGAAATGAAAAACAAGAAACCACTTACTAAATGGGAGAATTAATAAAGACCAGGTGTCTGCCACACCTGAAGGCTGTCCCCCCCCCTCAACCCCCATCTTGCTGTGAAAGCCATTGCATGGAGAGAAATCCTGGTTTGAGAGTCAGGGGATATTAATTTCATGGGGCCTGGCACATAGAAGTGTTTAAAATAGGTATGAGAAGAGAATCCAGGTGTGAGTGAGTGGCTTCCTACAGGGTAAAAGTTCAAGAATAGCCAAGACAATCTTGAAGCATTAGCAAGACTTACCCTCACCAGATAGTCAGTAAATCGTATATTAAAGTGTAATATTTGGGGCCAGAAAATGGCATAGTGGTTATGTCGCTGGACTACCACATGGCAAGCTATGGTTTAAGTCCCAGACCCGGTGGCTTAAAAATCATGCCAGATGTGTGTGCATGTATGCCCAAGATCCTGAGAGGAGAATGGAGGAGATGGGATCACAGCATGGCCATTCCCCCCAGGAGGTGATTTCTCACTTTCCCTCTCACCATCTCTCTCTCTTCCTGGTAAATCCCCATGCCCTACAGAAAAAAATCTCTTTTTAAAAAAGTATATTAGGAGCTGACAAGGTGGCGTGGTGGTTAAGGTCCCAGACTCCCACGCAGCAGACCATGGTTCAAGTCTCAGACCTGATAGCTTGCTCTCTCACTTTCTTTCTCTCTCTCTCCCTTTCTCTCATCAAATTAAAAAATAATAATAAGTATTTTTAAACATGTACTATTGAGGTGCCAATAGGTGGCATGATGTTTAAAGGCACTGGATTCCCACATGGCCGACTGAGGTTCGAGTCCCAGACCTAGCAACTTGCTTTCTCCCTTTCCTTTTCTCACTCTCTGGTTGAAATAAAAAATGATTATAACAAATGGAATTAAGTGGTTGAATAATTATTTTCTAAAAAGTGTATTATTGATTATATAATTATAGTTGGATCATTTACATCAGTGGAGATAAGCAAATAAATTAATACAAGCCAAGGCCCAGAAACAGACCCAAAAGCATAAAGGTGGCATTACAAGGGAGCCTGAAAGAACACCTGGAAACTAGACACAATCTATACTTAAACTTTGTTTTTAAAGACTATTTATTTAATTTTATTTATTATTATCATTATCATTTAATTTGCTATAGGGCACGCATGCTTGCTGGAGAAAATGAGAAAGCAAGCTGCCAGGTCCAGGACTTGAACTGCTATCGACCATGTGGGGGTCCAGTGCCCTAACCATCATGCTATCCACAGGTCCTAGGCTGGAACATTTTTTTAAGAATAATTTTATTTATTACTACTATTACATTTTAAAACTTTTTAAAAATAATTATTTTAGGGACCAGCAGTTAGCATAATGGCTATGTCACTGGACTCCCATGTAGTCGACTGTGGTTTGCGTCCTGGACCCGGTGGCTTAAACTTACACTGGGCGCATATGCATGCGTGCTCAAGATCTTGAGAGGAGAATGGAGGAGAAGGGACTGCGGCCTAGCCATCCCCCTGGGGGGTGATTTCTCGCTTTCTGTCTCTCTGTCTCTCTCTCTCTCTCTCTCTCTGGCAAGCACATGCGCCCTATAGCAAAAATCCTCTCA